ATAGAAATGAATCCTTCTAATGCAATTCGCAGAAGACAAATGCCCCACGCCTTCAAGGCGGAGATGGACTGGTTTGCGAAAGGCTTTCATCAGCCAAAAACTAAGCGTGAGATATCTGCATCAACTATTGATTCATTTCTAGACATGATATGGGATAAACCCTTTGACGATCTTCTACCTACTAACGGTGAGTAATTTTTTTTCCATTTGGAGCTACATATTAGCTCTTGAAAGGAGACAAACCAACTTCACTTTAATTCGAAAAGAGGGTCACAGAGGCTGAAAAAATCTTTGCAGATAATCCTGTCGTGACCGGAAATTACTGTTGCGGGATTGATGTAACGCTTTCACTTACTGAAACATCATCTACGGGACTATATTTGAGAACTCACTTAAATGTCTAGATCTCAGTTGGCTTGATAGCTGAAATGGTAGAGCACTGCGCCGGTAAATTAAAGCAGGGGTCAGGGCTCATAACGTTCAAAACTTCGATGATCTGCAAAATTTGACTTCAGACAAGAGCCAATATAGACCATTGAAGGAGTACATTATAGTACTATTTCAGAGGGTTTTTTTTATCTTCAATAGCGAGAAAAAAAGGATTTTGAAACAATATATCGGTTGAAAGTCATAAATATTGAGAATGGGCTTCTTTGCAAATTTTTCGCATTTGCAAATGCGCCGAGTAGTGACGCCATTCACGCAGCTCTCCATCATGTTCGTTCCGCAATATCAGTGGCAAGAGGACTTGCTGTGGTTGGCAATGATCATCAATATCTAAAAACCAAAATCTACCCTTCAAATAAGCTTGCAGAGAAACAACAGCGTTTCTTTTCCACGAAAAGAAAACGAAAACTCCAAAAGAAAAAACCTGTAATTTCTCAATCTACAATAGAGAAATTTAATAAAGTTGATCCAGAGGTATGCGCTTTCTGCTTTAAGGAAGATGGCCCTGACAGTGATGGAGGCTTAGTTGACTGGGTTGAGTGCAGTAACTGTGCAGTGTGGATACATACATTGTGTGACTATGTTGAAGACAAAGCTAACTACGTGTGTTGTATGTGTCGCTCTTGAGGAAGCTCTTATTTGGATAATTTTCATTAGCATACATTGTGGATGGCCCTAATTAGTGACTCAGACTAGACAGGGCTTGACTTTCAAAATAAACCTTGAGGCCAGGTGGCTGCTAAATTTTTAGATTTGGTTTCAAGCATCAATTTTCCAGTCCCCAAAAATTTTCTAGAAAGTTTTGCAACTGTAAATGAGAAACTCACAAGGGATCTAAAGAAATTGAAAATACAAATGTAAAAAATCTTAGTGGCCAGCTGGTGACTGGGCACAAAAAGTTAATTGCCACTGTGTAAAATCTAGTCACTTTGGCGACCCCACAGGTTACGATGTTGTTCAGCTCTGTCAAGGTTATGTTTCTTGTTCTAACATAACTTAATGTAACAACAAGTAAATAAGAAGCTGATTGCCCAGTTGACATTAATATTAAGGGTCTATGATTCCTACAAGAAGCACAGCTACCTGAGATGTTAAGTTCCTCACAGTCTTGACAAGCACCATTTCTCAGTTATTTCTCTCCCTTTTTTGCCATCATACACCCATGAATTATTTGCCAAGTAAAGTGCATAACCAATTAATACTCTTGATATACACTTAAACACTGTTGATTACATAATGATATTGCAATGCAATAGACCTGTTTCATAACAAGGTCAAATTGGAATTAAAGTACTTTGGTTTAGTTCTAAAAGCCTTCCTAGCCTCTCTACAATGTGGNACGTAAACGCAAATAATTCGCTCGTTTTCCACTTCTTATTGATTAGCAAATTTCCAATTCTTTGATTCAAACTTCGACTTGGTCCATAAAAACGCATAAAACGAACTCGGCCAATATCTAGCCATCTG